CAAAATTAGGGTCTAAAATCTGAGCAATGATTTCAGCATCAGTAGCAAGTGAACCGGTGGTTACTACATCGCAATCTAAACCAATGTAAGATTCCGCTGAGAGATCTTCTTGGACAGCACGAGGATCTAACTAAAAATAGGAACAGAATAATTGAATTTTAATTACACGTTTAAAAAACTAAATAAATTAAATATAAACAGATACATGTTATTTGTTTATATTAAAATTGAATAAGATTTGACAAAATTTAACTGACCTTTCTTTCCAATTAAGAAACCATCAATCAGATGCTTTAAAATCCAACTTTCCTAATGCTTCTGCAATTTTTAGTGTCTTTTCTTTTAGTATGGTACCATCAATTGGTGCTTGTTGACTTCTTTTTGCAACGAACCACGTGTATATGGCCTTGTCTACATTTTTGAAATTACCACTACTTAGTTTCTTCCGTTTAGATTTTGTGCCATTTTTTTCCAGTGAGGTTAATAACTTGGTTTTATTTTTAATCCAGGTTGATAATGTGTTCTTTGGGACTCCATACTTTTTGGCAACCTCTTTGTTAGACATCCCTGTCTCTAGGTCTTTTAATGCCTTGCATTTTTCTATTATAGATTTATTCGTGAGTTTTCGTTTAACAAGCGGCATGTTGTTGCGTTTGACAAAAAGAATAAATTAATATATTAAAGGAAAACTTTTCAGAAATTCAATTATTAAAAAAAATCGAATTTAAAAATCGAATTAAAATTTTTGTTTTTTTTCGAAAATTGGAATTTAAAAAAAATTAAATTTTATTGAAACATTTTTGAAAAAAAAAAATGTTGAAAAGTTAGAGATAATGAGAGAAAATTGCCCTGTGGACCGAAAATATTGTTCAGGATACCAAAAAGTTCAAGATATTAAGGTTCGAGATATCAAGAGGATTTTAGCCTAAACTAGTATGTTATGTCCATGAGACCGCTAAAAAAGTTTGAGATACTCAAAAGTTCGAGATATCAAGTATTCAAGATATCGAGCATCGACTGTACTTTACAACTTTATTAGGGCCTTTTCTTCCTTGACTTTTATGGTATATATATACATGACTTTTTTCTTCTTTAATGTTATGTATAGAAAAAACATTGACTGATAGCTGTCTCATATAATAAAGTTGTTAGACAGGTATTTTTGGCAAGCTTATTGTCTTCATATAGTCAAATGCCAATTATAGAATGTGCTCCTCTTTTAAGCCATTTTCTGATGTGTTATGTTTTAAAACATTGTAAAATTTATTACTCCTGCACTTATGAACATCTAAATCAGTCTGTGCTGCTTTTTTAGCTACATCATTGAGATGTGGTGATTACAATCTAAGACTTAGTTCTTCACATGTACAACAAGTATCCACTTGTGGGCGCCCAAACCGTAAGTTAAAATTAGTTTTAAAATGGTTCCAGTAAAAAGACTTGCTCACTTTAAAATCTGGATTTTTTTCACAAAAAAGTTGCCACATTGTTTTTACATTTAAACTTGCATTGAGGTAATATACTTTTTTCCCTGAGTAATATGATTCCATGAGTGGAAATGATCTTATGTGATTACTAACAATGTCATAAACATTCTGAGGAAGACAATTACTAATACCTCTTCCTCTTTTATCTTCAACGGTTATTCCGATTGCCTTAAGGTTCCTTATTCTCTGTAATCGTTTTTCACTAATACTTAAGACAGATAAAAGAGCACTACAACATCTCTATGCGTACATTGCCTACAATCACATGATAGAAGCTATTTGGCTGCTTCAGGTTTTAAAGATCTTTTTGATGTGGCACTCTTCTTTTAACTTTATTGACATCTATTAATCCCTGATTATAAAAATCTTGATTGTCTTTGCTTTTTATATCATAAAATTTGGAAAAGATATCCACACAGTTAGCCTTTCCAAAGTTCTCTAAACACTTTTTCTTGCACCTTAAAAAAGAAATCAGAAAAATTAATTTAAAAATAATACAAGGTAAAAAAAGTTTTTGCTAAAATACACAGCATTATTTATAATCTTAAACAAAGAACAACATTGCCACCAAAGTTTTGGGGGAATAGACCAAATCATATAAAGAGTTTTTGACTTTTTAGTGCTTCCACCTATGTTATAATCTCAATTACTATATAGGCCTAGGTTTACTATAACAAGATTTAAATATTCAGTGTATGTTAACTACTGGAAAAAAAATCATAATAAAACTTAGCCAACTGCATATTAAACTACTATTCAAGAAAGGTTTAATATGTAAAATTTGCAAACTATTTACTTATATAACAACCCATAATCTAAGTAATATAGCTGGTTTAGACTTAGGGTTAGGTTTTTAGGGTTAAAATATTTTGAAGTATGCTGTTTTATAGACTTTAGACATATAAACATATAATACATCTTAATTATTTTAAACTCATACTTTCATGAAATAAGATTATGGTTTCAAAATTTTATAGTCTAATATTTTTTATAATTTCAGTATAATTTTATGTAAACATGAGACTTATGTAAACATTAAATTTACAATAAGTTGAAAATGATTTAAATATACTATATGTAAATGTATATATGGTATATATATATATATATATATATATATATATATATATATATATATATATATATATATATATATATATATATATATATATATATATATATATATATATTGGATGTTTGAAACTTACCTGCAAGTAAACATAGGGTACTTTGGTGGAACTTCATTTCCCTTATGATTTATGTATGACTGTCCCATTAAACGTGCTTGTTTTATTTTGTTATGTTTGTACTCACAAGGATAACTTTCTTTCCTCTTTCTAGGATTTGGAATAATGAGGTCCATTAAAATCTTATAATAACAACAAAACTGTTAATACTATTAACATTTTTTGCGTATTGCACCTAGCAATACGAATCAGCTGTAGAGCGATTTTTTTAAAAAGGGCGTATTTGAAAAGAATTCACCTTTTTAAAAAAATCGAAAACTTTCAGGTGGCTTTATTTGAGTAAGGAGATAAAATTTAAACACATTTTTAACATAAACTGATGAAGCTATCATAGAAGAACACAAAACACTCTATTTACAAACTATTAATACAAATTATATTTACAATAAAAAAGCGCAACAAAAAAAAATTTTACAAAGGTTTTTTAAAAATGTTTATAATTATCTTCACAATATTTTACCATAAAATTGTTCATTAAAATAACTTAAATAAGAAATAAAATTTTACCCACTACTTTTTAAAATAGCTTATCTTTTTTTTGAAAATTTCTAGAAATTTTCCATAATTGAAAACTTCTGGCAAAATTTTATCACTATTTAAAAGTAATTGTTTTAAATTTTTGCTGTTAAGTGGTAAAAGTTGTTACTGTTTACAAATAAAAGTTGTTAAAAATTATGAATATCAAAAATTTAAATAATAATAAAATTAATAAACAAAAATATAACAATCTAAAAGACTGAAAATTTTAATTGCTTATCAAAAAGCATAGTTTATTTATGTACTTTCAATTCAATACTGTCAATAAACATATTGATTTAAACTTACAAAAAAAAAACAAAAAAAAAAACAAATATTGAGTTTGATTCAAGTTGATTCTAAATTATAAGCTTATGCTATTATTAATATAGGCTGCAAGAATATTTGAAATAATTATTTTTAAGTTCACAATTGATTTTTGATAAAATTACTGCTAATTCATACTTAAAAACAAAAATAGTCAGTAAATGAATTTGATCAAAGAGCATATAAAATTTTTATAAGTAAAAATCTAGTAATCACCAAAAATTATTAATTACCTCAATATTATGTTAAGTCTAAATAATGATACATTCCAATCCTTATGTAAACCAGATGATCACCTAAGTATATAGAGTGTGGTTATAGTTAGAACGTTATAACCACCCTAACTGTAACCACCCTCCAAACATAATATAGTTTGGTTTAACTCCACCATACAACATAAATGTCAAAGAAAAAAAAAGGAAATATTTTGTAGCCGGCTACATAAGCAATATAAAATATTCAATTAAAATTCTATTAGGATTAGCTATAGTTGCATGTCAATGCCCAACCTAAAGTCCATCATAAATCCACATAATTGCAAAATTTTCTACAATGACAATCAAATAAAAACCTAACATTGTAACTGCCTAGAAAAAGCACTTTGTTCATTGAAAAATTAGTGTTTGTCCAATAATATTGTTTATCAAGCAACTGTAAGTTCCAGTGATCATGGGCATAGCAGAAAAGTGTACTTTGGCATTACTCAAACACTATTTAAACTAAAATGCGCTATTATAAAATGAAAAATAATTTATTGTTAAAACTCTACAATCTAGCAATAAAAATGTGCCACCTTTGTCTCTATAAAAAATAAGTATTTTTATCATATAATGGATAAACCTACTGAATGAAAAAAAATGAAATTGTATCTCAGTGTCAGTATCCAATGAAATTCTTGCAATCTTTATTTGACAGAGGAGCCTATTAAAATATAATGTTTTTTTTTTTTAATACTTAGATTTTTTTTATCAAGTCTGAACTCAGCAATTTTATGTTATTGTAACAGTTTGTTTGCATTTTTTGTTTGTGTTCAGGAGTGATGATTGCTTTCAGTATTGAAACCTTAAGTATTGCTATCAATTGTTTGTATTCATCTAAATAATATGTGTGTGTGTGTGTGTGTGTGTGTGTGTATGTATATATATATATATATATATATATATATATATATATATATATATATATATATATATATATATATATATATATATATATATATATGCATTTATACATACATACACAAACACACACACACATGAAATCCACATGCAAAAATTAATAATAGTTCAAATTTCTGAAAAATTAAAATAAAAAAATTAGAAATAAAAAGTAACAACAGAGTGTTTGATTTTTAAAAATCTATTTTATTTTACAACACCAGTATACAAAAAAATAAGCTTAAAAGCCTTTTTTTTTAATTAAGGTGAATTCTGCAGTAGATATAGGTCATTCAGCATACTCACAGCTACAAAAGACTAAAGGACAAGAAATCATTGATACAGGTAATGAAGATATCAATGAATTCTTTAGCAAAGGAGCAAATGACAAAGCATCAATTATTGACACTAAAGTAAATATATACATTTTTTCTATTTTAAATAGATTGAATTTCATTGATATAATTTTTTTTTTTTTTTTTTTTTTTTTAAACAAGTTACTAAATTTGCTTTTAAATTAAAAAAGATATTGACTTAAAAAATTATATTATCCACAATTAATAATGTTAATAAATATAATATCAAATAGTTTTAATAAATTGATTAATTTGTTTTGGGAAAGGTGATGTTGAGATCATCAACAGAATAATAAATTTTATAATAATGTATTACTTTTATTTCATATATAGTTATATGTATAAAAAAAATCAAATCAAGTTTTATTTATTAAATAAACTTTAGTGGAAAGAAGTATCATCACAAATGTTATTGCTTGATATCACTGATGGTTCAAGTACTGTCGAAGCAATTGAGTATCAACCATTTAAAGAAATAAATCAGGATAGTTTCCAGCCTGGTTGTAAGGTAGTTGTGATAAATGCAATAAATGCATGAAAGTTTGTGGTATATATATATATATATATATATATATATATATATATATATATATATATTATATATATACATATATATATATATATATATATATATATATATACCACAAACTTTCAATGAAAATTTCATGAATGATAACTATATAATATAAAAATAAATTTTTTACATTCACTACCATAAAAAATGAAACTTATTAACTAAAAAAGAAAACCCTGCATTCTTACCAATTTTTTTGACAATAATTTTTTTAATGAGTTTTTTATAGTATAATGATCATGAAATTTTTATATGGTTAATATGGAACATAATTCGTTATATGTTCATGGGTATTGGGGGTAACCCTTAAAATATATTTTTATTCAAAAAATTTTTAAAACCAGTGTTTTTTATTTATCATATAAAACACATCAAGGGGGTGGCATCATATATTTTTCAAAAATGTTATTTGTGACACGCTAAAATATATAAACAGTGGTGCACATTATATTTTCATATTTGATGAATATAAAATTATGAAAAAGATTATTTTTATTACCCAAAATTTTTTTAAACTTCAGGAGTTATGATATGTTTATTGTAAGAAAACTATTGATGCATTAATAAAGTAGTGTTGAAAATGTCTTGGTATTTTTTGCTTGGAAGCCACTTTTTTTTTTTGGATAATATAACTAAATTATTAAAACATAATTAATATGCAATATATATATGCAATATATTTATATTGCATATTAATTACATACATATATATATATATATATATATATATATATATATATATATATATATATATATATATATATATATATATATACATATATATATATATATATATATATATATATATATATATATATATATATATATATATATATATATATATATATATATATATATATATATATATATATATATATATATATATATATGAACCATCATTATTTCTTGATAGGAAAAGTTCAGCATTTTAATTGGTGGTAATCAAGTCTCTCTACTTTTCTTTTTTTTTTTTAGCAATCTTGTCAACTTTTTAGTGGTCTGTTTCTTTATCAATAGTTTTTAAAATTTTTTTACTTCTTTTTAATTAAGATCAAAGTCTTATCTTTTATTATTTTACTTAATACAATTTAAGCACCGGGAAAGTTTACTTAACTTTGCTAATTAAAGTTAAAAAAAGTTGACTAGCCAATATTCATTAAACTTTAGTAGAAAAGTTTAAAAAAACTATTTGCTTTTTGCTATTCATTTTATGAAAGCACTATTTGCAATATAAATGCTAAAGTTTATATAATAATGAAAAGATATTGTATGCTAGCATCTAAATAAATAGAAAAAATGTGTTTATATTCATGATATGTATGCTTAAAGCGCGTCTTGGAAGCTTTTATTTACTTTGTTATAAAATTTTGGAAGCTTTTATTCTCTTCAATTTTAACTCAAGCCTTATTCTACTCCACATTTTTCACCACTTTGAGCAGTTACTTTAATAAAACAGTAATCATTTTTTAAATCTTTTTTACCAGAGCATCTCTCTAAGAACAAATATCTTTTTATTATTGCAAGAAGCCAATGTAAAAAAGTCCTGTCTGATGTTAAGTTCTGTTATTCTCAGTTTATTAAATCTTGTAACTTATCTCAGATGTTAGGTTCTAGAGACTTTTGTTAGTCTTTAACAATGTCACTAACTAAAGTAAGTCTAATATTTAATCTCTAATTCATGAGTCTAATTTTTTTACTTCTCCCCAGAATAAAGCAGAGTTATTTGCAAGGAAATCTTACTCTAATTTGACTCTTGAATATAATGGCCATATTTTTCCTGACAGTTAAACACATTAACCCATTGTTAAACATTGAAATCACTCTGGCTTCCAATGCTAAAGGTAATTTTCAAATGAACACTTTTACAGTTTGTGCTCCAGACAAGATTTCCATCATAGTCTTAAAAAAGTGTTTTCAAGAACTCTCTTCAATTTTTGCTAAATTTTTAAAAAGTGCTGAATAAGTGGTTTCAATTTTTCAAAACTCTAAAAAACACTTTGACCTCTCTAACCACCCTACATTTAGTCTTCACTCTGTTATTAGTTTCTTTATATAAAGGCTTTGAGGTTAATAAATTATTTCTAACTGCAGTAGTAAAGTTATTCCTACATTCTTCTTTATTTCAAGTAACTTTAACAATACAACAAGGTTCTATCTTTGCTCCTGTATTGTTTTTTATCTACAATAGCAATCTTCATGAAATCTAAAGTGGTTCTATTTGTTGACAACTCAACTAATAGAACCACTTTAACTTAAAAATCTTCACTTTTTAATTGAACAAGCAGCCAATTTTAAATCTGTTATCTCTTCTGTAACAGCCTAAGGCTTGCAGTGGCATATGGATTCAAATTCTGGACTTGAAATCCACAATTTTTGTTAGACAATAAAACTGATTTATTTACTGCAAAAAAATATTGCAATATTGTTGGCATTCCTATATTGATGAATAACAAGCCTCTTACTCTCAGACAAAGTCTAAAAGCACATTGTAAATGTAATTAGACCTGCTTTATCTGCCATACTTAAGCCACTCTGCCTTTGTTGTAAGGTTGCATCTCTTTCTTTTTTCTACAAATACACTAGTGATCACTGCTCAAACTAGAAACTATCAAAACTATCAAAGCTATTATCTCTATAACAATATCATCTCTATAACAAACTAAAACTATCAAAGCTATCATCTCTATAACAATATAAAAAATCATTCTTGCCTAAATTTTTATTCAACAAGTTGCATCCTTTTACTTTATCAGTCCCTTCATGCTATAAAATATTTTTTTAATCTAGGTTTTTTCTTAAAACATCAAAAAAGCTTATATCTCTTACCCAACTTCATGTTTTCCTTTTTTATACAACTTACATCTTTTTAAGTCTTCAGTTATACGTTTCCTAGTATTTTAACTTACTCTCTATTTTAAAGTAACTCATAACTTAATAGTAGTAAATTAGAGTTAAAAATATACAGATCTATGCCAATATTTAATAAATAGTAAATGTAAGTATAAAGTTATAATATATTAAGTATTATAATTTTTTTTAGCCCTAACTATCAATCCCTGCTAAATCTTAAAATTTTGCTGGGGCCGGGTTTGCAAAATGTCTCATTTTTAGCGGGGGCCCTGGTCACTAACTAGTTTGGTTTGATCTTCCGGGGATGGTTGTTAAATTTTGTTAGTTTTGCAAATAAATATGAAGGATTTAACTTTACTCTTTAGTTTGTTTTGGTTTTCATCAAATAACAATAATAAAATGTTGACATATTTCTAATATATGTTCCTTTCTAATAAAATATGAAAATCTTCATATGAAGAAAGTAAAACTAAAAAAAAAAGAATATAATAAAAAGTAGACATCAATTTGCAAATAAAACAAAAAATATTACAAAATATTTAATTCTTTTAATATAAGATACTTTAAAATATAATGTTTTATTTCAATAAATTTGTGCTTTATAAATGTATTCAAAATTTTTTGTTAAAAAATAAAATCACTAAAATAATATTTATAAAAAAAAAATTATATTTTGAAGTTAAAAAATACTTTCATATATAAGTAAAGATAATTTAAAAAAACTCACTGGTTTTTTAAAGATGTGTTATTTCTAGAACTATATAATTGTAAAATAACTAGGGATGTACCGAAGCTAAAATTTTGCCGAAGCCGAAGCTTCGGCCGAAGCCACTTTGCCGAAGCCGAAGCTTCGGCACTATATACGCTAAAAATTTAATCACCATTCAGGTCAGCAGGGGTGTAAAACAAAAAAGGTACCAAAACTAAGGTCCTTGACTAATAATATAGAAAAATTGTATAAAAATGAGGACGCCAGTCAGGGTTGCTGTCCCAGGCAGGGCAAAAGCTCTCAGCGCCCCTGTTAGAAAGTTTCTCATTATGTCGTTTCTGATACTTGACCGCACCAAGCGTTTTTTTTTTTAAACTTAAACTTTTTTGAAACATTCTCCCCAAATTTTTCTACTTCTAGTTCTTCTTTTTCTGTGTGCAAACCATATTAATGTTATATAGCATCTTTTAATGTGCTGTATATTTTATTTTTATTTTTAATGCACCTTTTGTTAATAGAAGTGGATAAAAATCTCTGAACATTACTAGAGTAAATTTATCTTTTGCACTTGATCACTCTTTCTTTAAATAAACACTCTTAGCTGATCTAGTTGTATCTACAACATAAAAAATTTTACAAACACACTTTATCTTTTTATTGCTATTTATTTCAATATCTTTTTTCTACTTCTCTGTATTCATTAAACGAACAGTTTCTAAACTAAAAAAAAACCCAAGTTAAAACCATTTTGTATTCCACTACAACTGTTGTGAACCTTGTGCTAAAAAAAAGTACAAATGATAGATTTCTCTCTAACTTCTTTTTTACATACTTTTAAGTATTTTTTTTTTTTTTTGATCATTTTTAACATTACACTACATAACATTTTCTTTAGCTTCTTTTACTCTTTTACACTCTGAAATCTTACTATTCATTCTTCTTCTGTCTCTGTAATGGATAAATCTGCATCCGTATTTAAAATCAAATATTAACTATCTGTGATAAAAGCTTCAACTCTATAGAGTGAGCTTTAAATAAAATAATAAATAGAATACTTTATAAATTTTTTATTTATAATTATATTATTATTTACTTTATATTTATAAATAAACAGGGACTGAGCAGGCTGATATTTATTTGATTTAAATTGTTTATTTAATTTAAATAAATTTTGATGATAAATATAAGAGCTCAAAGTAATCAAAGCTTCAACCTTTAATTTATTTTAAATAAAATTTAAAAGTCTTCATAATATCATAAGAAGAAGTCAGAATATAGGTTTACATGTTTAATATATAAATTCAATTTAGAAGTACTCATAATGTTAATAAAAGAGCAAGGATAATTATTATCATTGTTTTTCTTTTTCTTTTAA